TGCTGTGCCTGCCACGTAATCTGCACATGGAGGTTCACAAAGTGCTGCGCCTGCCACGAATTCTGCACATGGAGGTTCACAAAGTGCTGTGCCTGCCACGTAAGATGTGTGTGGTCTCTGTGTGTGTGTGTAACCCTTGGAGTCAGAGGGATCCCGTTGGATTTGATGTGGACTTTTTCTTCGCTTTTGGTATTTTTAGTGCAGGGGGTAGCGGCAGATCATTTGGGACCGCTACCAACGAAGACGCCCATTTGATCTGCGCTTTTCCTTTCTTTCTGAATGGCATGAGGCTAAGCCAAGAACCTCCTGACCTGATTCCTAAGTAGCCGCAGACTTGCACGCCACGACGTCATCTTGTCGGCTCGTCACTCGTCTTCTTCCTTTTGGGCCCTACTTCCTCTTGAAGACCTCCAGGATCCCTTGGTTCATACTTGTACTCTTAGGAAATGGAACCCTAGGCCGGCGTGTGGCACCGCTTTCAGTTCAGTACACAATATCTCAAGTGTGTGTGTCTCTGTGTGTGTGATCTCTGTATATGTGGTCTCTGTCTGTGTTGTCTCTGTGTGTGTGATCTCTGTCTGTGTGGTCTCTCTGTGTGTGTTGTCTCTGTGTGTGTTGTCTCGGTGTGTGTTGTCTCGGTGTGGAGGGAGGAGGCGGCGGGAAGCGGGATGAGACGACATAGAAAAGAAGAACCCCACACTAAGATGTGGGGAAATATTCCTACGCCTCTACAATCTGCGAGCAATGAACACCATCTCCTCTGCACTTGCCAAGGCACTAAGCCTTGCCAGCCCTCCTTCTGCCGCGCGCATGCCAGCGGCGTCTGGCCATCCAAGTCGGTGCCATTCACTGCCAAGCCTTCTCCGATGAAGCCTCAGAAAGCCAAAATCTGCCACCGGAAGTTTGGATGGTCGTTTGGGGGAGTGTCAACTTCCTGATCCTGTCGTTGTGATCCCCAGTACCCTCTTTCATCCTCTTTCAAGGAAAGGCTGATGGGTTGCGCTGAACTCGCAAGTATAGTGGGATCGGTTTGTTGCTCCTTGCGGTCCTTGTGATGGCGGTGCCTACTGACATTGTTCAAACCGGCGACGCAAGCGCATCAGTGAACGATGAGGATGAGGATTTTCAGTGAACAAGTTGTCCATGAGATTTCAATGCGTGTCTCCTTTCCATGGCAGCGCAAAAAAGAACGCTCAAAGCCAGCGACCAAGGGATGCTTTCGGGATATTTGATTGGCAACGATCGTCAAGTTTCCACTTGGGCGACGTGATTTCACTTCATCATCGAACTGGTGGCATCCATCCTGCGATCTTAAAGGTTGAACAGCACAAAGATCAGAAACCCGGACCCCCTTGTTCCCAGGTTTTCTCCATGGTGTTGCACACCCCACGTCAGGACCTGGGAGAACGTGCATGGTGGGATCGGAATCTGGAGAATCCAGAAGTCAATTGCACCCGGTCGGAGACGAAAAACGAAGGGGTTTCGGCCTAAGGGGGGGGGTGGAATATGGTGGAATACACAGAGAATCTGTGTGGAATGTTTGGAGCTAGAGTTGTTGAGGCGAATTGTGATAAGCGTGACCCAACCTTTTGACATCCGTCCCTACAAGTCCACTGGATCCAGTGAAGCATCTTGTTTCCTGGGTTTAGCCCATGAAACTCAGGGTGTTTTGCACCCAAACAACATGAAGAACACATGAGACCTTGCTCTCCGGAACCCAGTCATCCATCTTTTGGCATCGAATCGTTGCATTCGGAAAGTCTGCATCTCCCGCTTCTTCGAGCGGCAACAAAACACAATCGATTCTGATGGATTCTGGGATGACCCTGGACATTACATTCGTCAGAACATTTCAGGACTCTTTTCCTTTGACTCGACTGCTTGGTCCGCCGAGCTTCGCTGGACATCTGGTGCCTGGACGTGCAATCAAACATTGTCCGAGATGGGCGGAGCGGTCCAGCCGACCCATGGGGATGGGAGATGAGGAGAGACGGTCCGAGGTCCATCCGGGTGACCTCTTTTCCAAACCAAACCAGGGGCGGAACGACCCAAAAGCATCTGAAAGGAAAGGGGGAGACCGCTTGCGGGCGTCACAGGCGGCCTCGGGTGCCGAGGACGGACTTTGGCGAGAACTTTGTGCGGAAGAGTCCCCAATCCGTTCAGTATGACAATAGAAGTGCCAAATACTAAATCGTGTTTTGTACTTAATTCTAATCCCTATGTCGTATAGACTACTATACCGTACCAAAAACCTTTCTTTCTTAATTGTTGTTTTGGTTCTTTCAAACTTTGTCTCCCAAGCCCCTCAATGTCCTTCCAAAATCCCGTATACGGATTGGTGTAGGATGACATGGGTGTTTCTGTGCACGGATTAGAATGCCCCTCGGTTGGTTTAGCAGGGCTTTACGGAATAGGCTTTTGCTTTGGCATCAACCAATGGAATAGGCACCACAAATGACCAGGGTATAGAGGTTTTGGATGGTTTTGGTTTGACAGATGTCTAGGGCTGCATGGCACATCTCGTCATGGACTGTCCACTCATCCACTCACCAACCCTAAGGCCATGCTGAGCACCACCATGTGACGGTGACATGAGCACAGTGGGACTCAACTCTACCGTGATTTAGTGGGACTGCTTCTCACTCAAAGTAGACTGGGTGCACGTTGGCAAAGTAGACTGTTGATCGCAGATCCTCCCCTTTGGATAGTAAAACCATGCAAAAGCTGTTCATATTGGGAGTGTAATTCAGTACAATCAACAGCCTACATATTGGATGGCTTATGTAGAAAGCCTTGGGTTTGTCTCATCAACCGCTTTGTCTCGGCTAGCCGCGTCGCCAAGTTGCAGAACCTTCCCGGGCCGCTTGGCACAGTGGGTCCAGTGGCCGCAGCGAGAAGGGCAAGCCTATTCGGCGGCCGCGCTGGGCGCAGGCGAAGGGATAGAGTCATCTACTGGGGCAGAAGCGGTACAAGATGAAGGAGTTGTTATGATGCTGCCGTGTACCAGTAGAGTTTGGTGTACATCTGTTTGGTGTCTGTTTGTTCGGAAACTGCTGTTTTTGGCACCAGTTCACGCCCCAAAAAGGGAAAAACACCCAGCTAGCGCAGCTAGATACAGCGATGATCATCCTCGCGGACTGGCAGCCATGACCCCCCCCATCAAGGACTGGATCTGGTTGCTTCAGTTGTTGATGGTTGGGAAGCCAGGTAAGCAAGCAAATCCAGTGATCTCTGGTCTGTTCAAGTGATGCCATTTGGCAAGCTAGCCCATGGTTTCTCTGCAGGGATCACATGAGCTGATTTGAAGGCTGTCGCATCTGGCAGAAGACTCATCGCCCAAATTCCATAGAACTCACTTTGTCAACTCCGGTGGTTCTTCTGCCAAACAGTTGATCCCCAACTAACTAGACTAGAGACATCCAAAAACAAGCACTGAATCACATATAAAAAAAAAAGGCAATCTCCTGACAGGGGGGGTTCACATGGTTTAACTAATCCATACCAATCCATACCAGCATCCCTTCGGTCTTCTCTCTCAAACGCTTCGGTCTCTCTTCTGCGCCTTGCGGCCGCAGCAGCGGTGTCCAGCGCCCCGTCGCCGCGTCGTGGACGTCCAGCGCCGCCCAGGCGCTGCCCAGCTTCGTGGCCACGCGACGCCAGTGGCGATGCACGTCCCAATCCTTGGGGACTTAAGATGCAATAGGTGCCTTGTGACTATAGTAGCAATGGCCTCCAACCTAGAAGAGAGGTGGAGGCCGCCTCCGCCCTAGAAGAGATGGCCCTCTGCCTGATCTTTGTTGCATCTATTTGAGGGACGTGGGCTGCTCATCAAATACCAGTGCCGCCGCCACATCCCTCCCCAAAGGGACCCAAGGGTGACACCGTCTTCGGTCCCGAAGGCGACCTTGACACATTGATCTGTCAGGCGCTCAACTTCTTCCAAAGCACCTGATCGAGGTCACCAGGTCACCTTTTACACAACGAAATCAAATGACAGTCATTCGACTCATTCCAAACCCCACACAGTCGTTCGTTCGCTCCGCGTTCGCTCCGTACCATCGGTGCTATATATCAACTGAGAAAAACAGAAACAGACCTGGCAAATGTGAATCTCCGTGAGTGATAGATCCGGATCCATCTCTTTTGAAAGCTCCTAGTAGCGTCCTTGTTCCAATTCTATTTCTTGTTCCTAATAGCTTCTTGTTTCTAGTAGTAAGGCCAGGAGCCCTAGTAGCTTCTTGTTTCTAGTAGCGATGCCCTTTGTTCCATTCGTAGCGTCCTTGTTCCATAGGATCAATCTCTTTTGAGCGATGTGATGGCTTTTCTTCTTTCGTGTCGCGACACGTTCTTCTTCCCCGGTGACGTCATCCAGTCGAGCATCGAACAGCTCCAGGATCTGCCCTTGCCGCCTGAAGCGGCGGAATCATTCGCGCGACGCCCGCGGACGCCCGGGCCGAAGCGCGCTTCACCATAACCGGTCGGATGCCCGGTCCAGTTGGAACGAGGTGGTTGTTCGGTTGTTTGGAACCAGCTCCCAGCTGGTAGTCTCAGGGCAGACCTAAGGGACTAGCAGTTTTCTGTTCGATTGCAGACGACCTAGCGCTTCCTGTCGGGCTTGGCCGTTGGTGACCCCGACCGGAAGCAGCTGGTAGTTTTCTCGTTTATTTCCTCGCCTTGCGAGTGTCGAGCTTGACCCTTGGGTGGGACTGGCCAGGTGAGCCTCTTCCAACGACACAGGTGAGTTCATGTGGATGTGGTTCCCTATAGTATGAACATGTATGAACTATCTGGGCGGTGCAGTTCTATGTAAATCAGAGGTAACCATCTTCATATCTGGGTTTCGAAATGATCCTCTTCAAACAAGATCCTTCAGCCTCAGAGTAGAACAGCCCACCTGGTGGCCAAGCGAATCATGACGCCCGAATCCACACGAGCGTGGGAAGATGCTTTTCCAATGTGCCAAATCTTCCATCACGCAGGGTTTAAGATCCTTCGTTCGCTTTGACCGCCAATCCATGCATCATACCATCTATCCAACAAATCTTCACCGCCGAGGCTGAAGACGCTGCGCCGCTGCTCTCTCCTTCGCTGTTCACTCCCTTGGCGCCTTCCGCCCCCGCCTGGTGCCCTGCATCGGGGCTTTGGGGTGGGGCGCCTTCCGCAAGGGCAAGCGCTCGCACACCACCTCGTAGAGCGCTCCGGAGCCGGGCTCCAGGCTACGCACCTCGCTGAAGGTGGCTGGCACTGTGCGGCATGGTGTTAAGTGACCTTATAGGACCCTATTGGGGTAAACCGGTTTACCTATATAGTCGAGTCTATAGGGTGACAACTACAACCATCTCCTCCCAGACAAACACACAAAACAGCCCCTGATCCCTGAAAACACAATATCCAACTCGCTCTCTTCGTTGGGCCCAACGTTCTTGTCGCATGCGCTGTATTTGTGGTGTGGACACCCGCCGGTGGAGTCCCCTTCTTCTCTCCCAGCGGCTTCAGGCGGACTCACAAAGTCTTCCACCTCCTCCACGTCTCTGGCAGGACTCACCTGTAGGAAATGACCGGAAATGGCGGGCACCAGGCGTGCGGAGCTGGCCACGCGAGCACCGGGCGATCTGTGGACAAAGTCCAGTCGGGAGCACCGAAGCACCGCATCATTTCAGCAGGCGTGTGTAAAAGCTTTGACTTCCTTCATCAGTGAAATGCAACCCGGATAAAAATGGATAGGACAAATGCCTGCACCCCTTGAGGACGATGGATCTGCTTTCTAGTTGACTTCAAAGTAGATTGGCCAATGGCCAATGGCTTGCTGAGTTGTGGAATTTTGTTCGTCCGTAGAACCCCTGGTGCGGTAAAGGAGCACGTTCCAAAGCGAGCAGCTTGGTTGGAACAATGACACTGGCGATGTTTATGTGTGCATACATCACTGGTGCTCTTGATTTCACGTAGCCTCCCTGGCTGAAATCCCACCTAAGTATAGCTATTTACAATTCGCCTGAAGTGGTATAGTATAGGTGTTGACCACTGAGTTTCATCACTGAGATAGATCCCTCACCAAAGCATGACAATGACACGGTTCTCATCACCAAACACTTCACTCACGCTGTTCTCATCCCTCCGCGCACCCCGGTGCCACCCCGCCGGTCCCGGTGCCACCCCGCCCGTGGCCTGGGCCGCCGGTTTCTGGCGGAGCTCCTCGGCGAGTTGCCGGGGCTCCTCGGCGTCCCACCAGGAGCGACGGAGCACCTCCTTGTTGCCCACCTGGTGGCAGCGTCGGTCGGTCTGCGGCCTCTTTTTATGCTGGTAGAGGTTGATGAGCTATGGGTTTCCTGGAAAGGAGGTGGTAGAGATGAAACACTCTCTGGTGATCAAGGGAAGGGAGGGTGAAATGGAGAGTCTTCGTTCAATTTTCTGGTGAATCAATGCTAGGGCTAGGAATGCGGCCTTGGCATTGGAGATTTTCTTCCCAACCCTATGCGAGCCGCAAATCATCGGAAACAAACTGGACCAAATCACAAAATATGCACGTCCGATCTTTCCGCAACAAGTTCCGGTCCCAAACAAATCTTCGTTTCGGGGTCAAGCAATATGGTCGAAACCATCTTAATTACATGACATCTGAACCAATGAACTCCCAAATGTAGACAAGCACTCCGCAACTGCACTCTGCAACAAGTCCCAGGATCTCATGACCGGACCGCCGACTTGGACTACACGACTGGTCTGCCTGGAGCGGCAGAAAAAGCTGATCCTCCACACGAAGCCATTGGCTGCCGTCCAAAGCCTTGCAAACCACACCGCGGACCACCTCAGCCGTCGGACCGGCCACCAGTGTCAGGCCGTTTCTGCAAGGGGGGAAGACATCCAAAGAATTTGGAGCGGAAGCAGGACTTGCGAAGTAAGGAGCAATACTCTGTTTTTATCTGGAACATTCGCAACTGGTACGGATGGTGCGTTCAGCGATGCGTACCTACGATGGTGGTTGGATCGCTGGGCGCCTTCAAAGACTGAAAAAGAGGGATCCGCTTAGAAGACGATCCCCGGATGAATCCCATCTGACACCCAGCGATACACTCAGAATCGATGGCAGCCCTCAGACTCAGACTTTCGTGCACCATAGAATCATTTGTATCAGGTACGTTGTTGGCAACTCATTCAGATCTGCATCTAAAAAGCACCAAGAGTCAGGCAGCAGAATGACAGGACACGACACAATCTCACAAAAAGGGGAATTCGAACAAGCGCAACACGAAGCCGTCCCATGTTGCTCGAACATCCGACCACTGCCAAGGGGCTGAGTTGAACTCGGCGATCCGAGTGAGCTTGTCCTGGTGAAAGCTCGGACAAATCATTAAAGAACTGAGAAGAACTCTCTTCGAATGCATAGTGACTTGCTTTTGAACCCTTTCCTTTCACCAGTTGTTCAAGTTAAAGGCTTGGATTGAGGCGGGTGGCCAATGCCCACTTCGAACAATTTTTGAAGATGCGCCATGCGGGCAATCTATCTGCCACTCTGCGGTCACATTCGATTCGTTAAGGAACAAAGTGGTTTGTAGATTGGCCGACTGGTGCTCTCCACGATGCGGGGGGGCACTTAACCATTCTTCTTTGGAAGGAGGATATTGACTATGATGCCTCCTTCATGTTCACCAAGCAATGAACAAACAACGGCCTCCTCAATTGTTTGATTCATATCCCACACACTGTATCGAATATGCCTACATTGACCTCCCAAACTACCGCAATGTAGCTAAATATGCCTAATACATGGAGTGTCTGGGTATGCATACTTTTAAAATATTGACGTCGTTTCAACATGTTACACAACTAGCATTGCGTCATTTCTTGCTGTCTTGCAATGACCCGATGCGGATCAGAAGAACAGCTCCATACGTCTCAGCCCACCCAGTGATCCAGTCAGACTGGTCTGGTTAGAAAACAAAGCGCCCTTTGGGGCGCACCCGACTCCTTAAGGTCTCCGATGGCTGGAGGGTTGGGTGTTAGGCTCTCCTGCAGGTTGAACCATTGGTGACCTGGCAGTGAGGGTCCTGGTACTTTGGTGGAAGAAACATGGAAGTGGAAAAAAGAAAAAACCCTAAAACACCTAACCTGTTGGCATTCGGATTTCACTCATGGTCATCCGAGTCCTTGGGGGCGCATGGCCATGCCATGAGGCTGCCGAGTGTGAACAGACTTCACGAGTGAACAGACGAGCTCCAGCTAAAAGCGATGGCCTCCAGCCTACTAGCGATGATGAGTCCCAGCCCCACCCCGACATTGATTCGGCGGCCTGGAGTCCTGTGGTTTCTTTGGCCGAAGCTACAACTCCCGGGCCCAGCGGGAGACCCCAAAAGAACTCCGTTTTTCGTCGATTCTGGAGAGAATCCACCTGGAGATCGTCTTTTTGGCGTAGATGGGATGCTTTTCGTCTTGCAGGGGCCCCAACTTCCACTTCCTTGTACAGTGTTTTTTTGAAGGGTTGTTTGACCAACGCGTCAGGCAGTCGGACGACACGTTCCGCTCATGCCCTCCTTCATGTTCATGCTCTCGCGATACGCGATGCCACGTGAGTCAGTGTTCCTTAGAGAAGACATGTGCCGAGTGCCAGTGCCGCAACGGAATCGTGACATGTGCATATCCCGCTGACGAGTTGCTTGGATCTGGCGGCTCGGAGGGATTTGCTTTGTCTTTTGAAGGAAGATTTTGTGCATGTTCTGGGTGTTCATACCATGTGCCAGGAAAGTGGATTCAATCATCCCATGTAAAGGGTTGAACCTTAAAATATCCGAAACCACCGCCTGGGCCTAGTCCATGCACGTCTTTCATCCTTGCAACACTCTTGTTACTCAGGCACACCTTCGGCCCCCTCTAGAGAAACACACGGGCAAGGCTACACCCCTTCCAAGTACAACGATGTTCACTCCAACGATGTTCACCTCCCAGCCATGTTCGGTGAAGGGTCAGCTGACTGTTGTCCACCACGAAGGCCTCCTGGAACTCCGCTATCTCGGCCTGGCGACGGGTTCAGCTGGGAGTGGGGCTGACCCAAGCGGCCCCCAAAGCATGCGGACCGTCCTACTACCGCAGGGTTGTTACGAAGCCACAAGCCTTCTTTAAACCTCTCCCAGTGGATCCAAGCGAACTACTTCAGCTCGGTATCACCAGTTCTAAAGACGCCAGACTCTGAGCCGGAATTCAGGGGTCTCCTGTCATCCTGGATAGTGGGCCCCAGGACAGGGCTTCCAGGTGACCCCGACGGTGCTGGTTCGGGCAGCCACAGGGCCCTGAGATCCGATTCATCACGTGGCGAGCGGCACGGCGGCACGGCGGCACGGCGATCGCAGCGGTGCTGCGGTGCGGCGTGAGCGGTGAGACATTTCTAAGCATCGCACTTCGATGTACTTAGGAGTCAGCCTCAAAATGTCCAGGTATGAAGCAACCTAGCAGAGGTGGACAATTCAAAAAACCAACCATTTTAAGATTTGCTTCAAAGGTTGCTTCATACCATCTTTGAATTGTCCATCTTTACCCAGCAATACTATTTCCGTTGAGCTATTTCAGATTACGGGTGGATTTTGTCTGGGCCGGGGGGGAGCATATGGTTGAAAAAACAGGCATTCAGACACACGCGGCACAAAAACAGGCGAGCAATGTCTTTTTCCTGCTCTAGTGGATTGGTTCCAAGTATTTGGAAGTTTGGAGGGTGCCAGTGCACACATCATCTGCAGAACTCCAGTTCATGTCTTGGAAGAAACCACACTGCTAGGGTCACGTTACGTCTTGGACTGTCACAGCACACCCCTCCCTAATGCACCAAATTTGCCGTTTTGGCAGATGGGAGAACCGTCGATTCAGCCGAACATCACGTAGTGTAGAGAAAACATGATCAAAGGAGAATCATTACAATTAACCATCAAATTGATACTAAGGTTGCCGATAAATTGTCATGAAAACAAATGATAAAATTCCACAAACTATTACCCTAATGTTGGATGTAGTAGGTGTACGATGTTACAAGTGAAGTGAGTTGTAAGTTGTAATATAGCGGAGATCTCCCATATAGATTAGCAGGTTGGCACACCATGTCACCACGCTCCCCAATCAATGGAAACTGTGCCACTGCACTGCAATCCTTTGGATTGCCCACTCCACGCTCCAGCTCTCACTTCTTTTTATTGGCCTTCTTTGAAGGTTGTGCTTCCTGAACGGGGGCAACACTCTGGCTTTGGTTGTGTTTCACAGTCAAGTACCTATGATGTCATAAACCTGTATAGAATATTGAATATAGAATAATATAATAAACTAATCCCAACGGAACATGCCCAGGAAAAGGAAAAACAACAACATTCATAGTTATAGGTATCGTCTAAGTTAAAGTTCAGTCTGGTGTTAGTAGTTGGTAGTTGGTAGGTAGGTTAGTTTCGCCAATTTGTCACCAAATGGAAGATCTTGAACAGTCAAGATCACAAATATCAATGTGTTCAACGAATGCACATGTAAACCCATAACCCGGAAATCATCTCCTGAATATGGAAGGCAGTCTCCAAGGAGGTCTGGCCGCGCTTTGTGGTCACCCTCTTAGCTGGCGTAGAGCGCAAGGCCTGCGACTTCAACATCTTCTCGGTGGCTGCATCAATGTGTTTCTTCACAGCCTCACGGTCAGATCCGTCAGCTCCTGGAGAAATCTGACCTGGGCCTTTTTGCATGGTCTGGCTTTTCAAGTCGGCTGTGAGGTCCATATCTGCATGTGATGTGGATGCCATTGATGATGCATATCGTGCGTCCATCTCTGCACGTTCAGAAAGGGCTGCACTCATCTCATCAAGGTTTGTATCAGCATCATAGCCTGCACCGCAACCATGATTGAGGGTGCTGCTGAGGGCTTGGTCCTTCTGTGTGTCAAACAACCACACCAAGAAACTGCGTAGGTCTTGCAGCTGTTCTTTCTCAGTGTTTCCCGCAGCCCACCCGTTGAGACCTTGCTGAAGGGACATTGATTTGGATGCCAGGAACTTCGCAAAAAGCGGGTGTTGAATAGCTCTGAGTCTCTCATCAGCGAAGCTGCTGGTATGTGATTTCTTGCAGAACCTGCGTAAATCATCAATGCTTCTGGGGCGATGGCTGTAATCCCAAAACTGCTTACCCGTGGACTCCGCAGTAGCCTCATCAGCAGGGATTATCTCGTGACTGCCGCTGTGTGCTATCCCCGCCATGGAAGTCTGCCCCGGCGACTGCACGGTCTTGCTGACTTTGGCATCACCACCATTCTGCTCAGATGATCCCAGAGGTGTAGCCACCTCCACAGCCTCCACACCAGCATGGGTTGTCTCCTGTGGGCCGCTCTGTGGTAGCTCCATCATGGCAGTATCATGCGGAGCGGATTGAGCGGATGCCTTGAGTTCACCTCCACCATTTCCTGCACGTGGTGGCGCAGGCAATTCAGGTGGTGATGGCAACACCTGCTCGGCCGGGGCCCTCCATTCAATTGCAAGAATCGGGCCAGGCGCACGGCATGGTGATGGTGTTGATGTTAATGCAGCTACTGATTCAATCAAGGCCTTCTCAAACTCTGACTGAACGGGCTCCTCAGGCAATGATGCACAAGCAGCGCCGGCATTGGTAGCAGAAACATCATGTGAGGAGGAGGATGTTGATTCAAGAGGCGGTTGCACAAAAGGATGATTGAGGCCGTGTGCCTTGGCAAGCAAGCGCTGTGAGTGCTTCTTCTGAAAGATCAGAAATCCTCTGAGATCCTCCAATGGATCAGAGCTCTCCGCATCCCCAAATTCCCATCCTTCTTGAATCAGATCTTGAAATTCTTCTGGTTCCAAGTACTTGTTGAACAAGGAATGCTTTCTGCAACGGTCAAGCTCAAAATCAAGATCTTCCACATCCTCATTTGCAAACCATTCGTCAAGGTCATCTGCCACAGGTGGGTTGTTGAAGTCGAGCTTCCTCCTCTCTACACCAATGCGATGATCTGCGGTGGTATCAGCGTCGACCTCTTCCTTCACCATGTTGTGAACACATTGATCCACCCACTTCAGGCTTTGCTCAATCCGGTCACGCTTTGCATCATAGCTAGATGACTGGGCCTTTAGCACTTTGACTCCAAGCTTCAAGGCCTTGCTCAGGCTGTCAAGATCATCAACGAACATGTGCTGCACGCAAATGCCCGTCTGTACCTCACATATATGGTAGGTGTGAAGGGGACAATTGTCCGCCCTAGGTTCAACAAGTCATATATAAAAAAAATTGCCATGAGAGCCAAAGCCAGGATGCGAATAGTAGACAACCAGGCGCCTTTGATTCCTGATCCATTGGCGGGTTGAAGTCATCTGGTAGCAAGCCTCTACACGCTTGATAGAGCAATCGCCCAGGAGGGATCACCATTGCCTCGCCAGTGAGAAGGAACCTATGTGCACCTCAGTCACGGATCTAGACTAGATCGGTTTAGTTATTGTGATGTTTGCTCCCTGTAGTGTCCAATCAATCCAAAAAAGCACATCCCATGAACATTGGAGTCAAGCCAAGTGTAGTGAAATGTGAAACAACAGTGGCGGCGGCAACAACTAAGTTATTTACCCCCGACAGCTTCCAGCTCATCAAGGGTCATGGAGCACAGCTTGTCCGCAAGTGTTTGCAAATTGCATCCCCGGTCAATGTCATCCTTGAAGGCATGAATGGGGATGGTCGCAACAAACAGTGAGCCCTTGATGACAGCAATCAGTTTGCTCCACATCATCTCAGCAAAACCAAACCACGTCCAGTTGTCATTTGCAACCACAAGGCGTGGAGTAGCGATCTTGTCCACCAAGTTTCTGTCACTTTCTGTGAAGTTCAGCCTCAGAACATGCCACATGTCAACTATACAAAACAACTGTAGTATAAAAAAACTATAACTATATACTATATACTATATATATATATTAATATACTAATACTAAATATGAATATAATATATGTCAATTGTCAGATGTCATATGTCATATGTTATGAAACTCGACTTAGCCAACATGTAATCAATGAAAGATGTAACCCACCGCCCTTCCTAGTGAGCTTTTGTAAACATAGTTTCAGCTCAATGTCCGATCTGACCTATATCACAAATGTAATGTCAATGTAATCACTGATTTCACCGATATTGTGTGCATGCCGGGAAGCTTCGCGTTCAACATGTTCAATCCCTGCACCAAGTCTGCAGCACATACCCTCAGTCCCTGTGGATAAGCCGTCTCCTTCAAATAGGTTGTCAGACGTTGTGTCTTGCAGGCATCAGCGACCAAATCTGATGCTCCAGTCAGAAATGCGTCCAGTGTCTCTGTGTTGATGGCCAAATCATTGGGCTCAAAACGCAGGTGTGTGGACTTCTTAGAATTGAGGAAGCTCCATCCTTGACAAGTGTGTGGAATGAGAAGCTTCTTCGCATCCGCCAAAAGATAGAGCTTGGGCGCCTGTGAGTCTTGGTCTTGTTCTTGGACTGAAGAATTCTCATGAGGAGTTGCCTCTGCCTGTTTTGGGCCTGGAGGATCCTCAGCAGGTCCAGATGGTGAGTCATGGTCATCGTCTGGCAAGTCTGACTCAGAATCACGATCGTTGCCTGCTTCCTTCTCTGCAGCCTCCATGCCCTTCTGTCTGGCAGCACCAAGTGCCTCGATGTTAGAAGTCTTTCTCTTTCGTTGAAGTTCAGCAAGCCTGCCAAGCGCAGTATGATGTCAGACGTCAGGTATATATTGAAAAAAAACAAACACAAAAGACATGTGTTGGGGGTAATGAGAGTGAACCATTCTCCAGCCACAACAAGCAACACGACAAGGCCAGCAGCAGGACAACAATTGATTGAGAACACAAACGCACTATATTGGACACATCGGCCTTTTTTTGTGGGCGAGCTCCTGTTCTTTGGCTGCCTCAAGAACATCAATGGACTTCTCCAATTGAGTGAGTACCTTCTTCACACTTTGCTCGTTTGAAGTCAGCTTTTTCTCATAGTCTGCCAAGGATGTCTTGGT